TGCTTTCCCTGCTTGTCATTCAAGATAGTTAGCTCTCATACATATGCAAAAATGACTAGCCTACATTTTTACAGTGAAATGTAAGCATATGAAACTGAAACATATGAATGATACTTTTTTTAGAAAAGGTATTGGCCTGAAAAAAAACCTCAACAAATGTCAAGCATAAAAAACATTGTAGACTTAAGGGCACATTTGAAGTTTTTACAACGTGTCATGGATGTGCTCACAAAATGGCTGCCATGGCAGAGGGCTTTCATGTTTACAAGATGCTTGCCATGATGGGTGCTGCCTGTCATATAAACCTATTTACCAGAAGACAAGCTGATGCAATTGCTACCTGCTATCCCTTCCAGGGTATTCTCTATCATAGTATAGTTTACATTTGTCTTTTTCTGTGAAGGTCAATACTTCCCAAACCTTTTTCTTCATTACCCAAAACCACTTATCAGAAAGTCCTTTCTAAGTAAATATAAATGTCCCTCTTGTGATGGGTAATGGGTTTGTATATCATTACCCAAAGAAAAAACACTTTTACCCAATTTTGGGTAATTTACCCAGGTTTGGGAAGCATTGGTTTAGATGGACAGGAGTCATCTGTTTAGATAGACAAATGAAACACTGGGCTTTAGCATCTCATCCTTTTCAGTGGCTCAAAATGTGATGAGGCTTTTGTGGGGGCAGAAGCATGCTGGAGGCTGTCGCTTTGTTAAAGGATGTCAGCTTCACATTGATTTTGAAAAACAGTAAGCTGGGGCAAAAAGCTTATAGGCACCCAAAGACGTATTTAGGGCACGCTGGTGCCCTGGGCAATATATTATCTTCCCAATCTTTTTTATCATTTAGTATTGTTACTTCAAAGGAATGGCTAGCTTAAGCTTGAGATAATGGAAAGGACTTGAGAAGTAGTGTTTAAGCAAGTGAGAATGAAGACAACTTGCAATGATAGACCATCACTGAAATTTAGTTTTCTATTCTTTACATGGGAAGTGGAGGCTCTGCTGTTTCACCAGGAATAATTATGTGATTTGGGATGGAATAGAAGCTGGAACTGTCTTTCCCCAACTAAATCTTTCTCCATATGTCTCTGTATCTCTCACCAGTAGCTGAGTGGATCTTGGTTGTTCTCTACAGCAACATCTTCAGTATCCTGCAGCCCCCGTTTCTGCTTAACATTCCCCCATCCAACTAAAGGATTGCCAGAGGCAAGGAGAACAGCAGTCTGACCATCAGCCACCTCTAGACTGCTCCCATACAAACCCTCCATGTGATGGCATGGAAGCTGAGAGTGCTTTTGACTTTCCCACTCCTTGCTGTAGCAGCCAGGCAGCTTGGCCCCCATGCTCAAGCTGCCTTCAGCTCTTTCCTGCAGAGCTTGGGTGTGAGAACAGGAGGAAAGGCAGAGGGGCAGAGAGGGAATTCGTTCTTCATGCTGCTATGCTAGGTAGGCATTACTGAGAAGGGAGATTGGTCACATGGCACATTGTCCCTGCAGGACAACCAGAGACGTTGTCTGCATCAGCAAGGGGCTCAGATATTCCCCCAAATCCAACAAGGGACTCATGCAAGACCTCTCTAGCACAACCCTGTTTAGAGACAGGTAGATAATGACTGTCAGATTCCCTTCTTTAACTGGCTGAGGGGCTCCAGCTGCTAGATGTAGCACTTTCTGTAAAGAATGTGTATTATACATTAAGACAAACTACTTTGGACAATTGACTGCCCTTTGACAAAATGCAGTTGCTTCCCTCTCTTCTTTGAACTGCATTTTCCTTCCATTCTTTTCACAGCTTAATGGAAAACCTGTTTTGCCCTTCCCATGCTTAGTGCTAGGTGATAGCTGGTTACTGACATTTCAGCATTTTTGCTCTGGTAAACTCTAGCTTCCAACAGATCTCCCTCATGTTTAAAATAGACTTAAGAAAGCTTCTGGCGTCAAACCATGCTTGAAAAATAGGGGAAAAGTTGAAATACAGAGGAGATTGCACTCTGTCTAAGAAATTGCAGTTGGAATGCTGAAAGGGGAAGTTTCCTTGGAGTATATTACAGTTGGTTTGAAAGTTTCAAACTTATTTTTACCAAGCCAGTCCTTTGGCTTCCTACGTTCTAATGAATTCCAGGCTCCCTCCTGGTCTCAACTAATATAATTATCTCTAACAATAAACTCAGTTTATAAGTGCCAACAGAAGTGGAGTCAAATCATGGCTGCTAAATTGAAAAGGTAGTATCTTCAGGCTCAGGGGAACTCCAAGGTTTTTAGGGCTGTGGATTTTTTTAAAATAAAAGAGGCCTAATGGAACTCTCATCCTGCCCAAAGTGAGCAAGCCTGTTGTTGTTCAGTCGTTAAGTCGTGTCCGACTCTTTGTGACCCCATGAACCATATTGCG